GCACCTCCGCTGCCGCCGCTACCACCCACCGCCACGGGAGACCGAGCCAGGTTGCCCGCCAGTTTTAATTGTCGTACGAATCGGCACGCGCGACACTACGAGCCACTGCGCCCCCGACCGACCACCGTGCTCCGACGACGGCCCCACCGCGATCACGAAACGACGACACCGCCGTCGTCTCCTACGAACCGAGCCACCGTTTAACGCGCGAATCCTTCACCTTGCGTGCCACCACTCGCCGCCTGCGGAAAAACCATCTTATCTCAGAATTTATACTTTGTAGCTTTCGCATCGTACGTGTCGTTTTCGATCTACTCGAAGGAGCACTAGTCACTGGTGCCTGATTTGGGCATCTTTGTATTTTGAGAATTGGACGACATGGACAATTTGGGGACATGGACAATTTGGGAGGCATATGCAATTTAGGGACATGGACTATTTGAGGGGCATAGACAATTTGGGGACATGGACAATTTGGGAGGCATATGCAATTTGGGGACATGGACTACTTGAGGGGCATAGACAATTTGGGGACAAGGACAATTTGAGAACACAGACAATTTTGGGGACATGGATAATTTGAGAACATACACAATTTGAAAATACAGACAATTTTGGGGACATGGATAATTTGAGAACATACACAATTTGAAAATACAGACAATTTTGGGGACATGGATAATTTGAGAACATACACAATTTGAAAATACAGACAATTTTGGGGACATGGATAATTTGAGAACATACACAATTTGAAAATACAGACAATTTTGGGGACATGGATAATTTGAGAACATACACAATTTGAAAATACAGACAATTTTGGGGACATGGATAATTTGAGAACATACACAATTTGAAAATACAGACAATTTTGGGGACATGGATAATTTGAGAACATACACAATTTGAAAATACAGACAATTTTGGGGACATGGATAATTTGAGAACATACACAATTTGAAAATACAGACAATTTTGGGGACATGGATAATTTGAGAACATACACAATTTGAAAATACAGACAATTTTGGGGACATGGACAATTTGGGAACATACACAATTTGAGAATACAGACAATTTTGGGGACATGGATAATTTGAGAACATACACAATTTGAGAATACACACAATTTTGGGGACATGGAATATTTGAGAACATAGACAATTTGAGAATACAGACAATTTTGGGAACATGGATAATTTGAGAACATAGACAATTTGGGAACACAGACAATTTTGGGAACATGGACAATTTTGGAACATAGACAATTTGGGAACACAGACAAGTTTGGGGACATGGACAATTTAGGAACACAGACAACTTGCAGACATGAGCAATTTGAAGACTTAAGCAACTTGAGGACTTAGACATCTTGAAGACATGTGGAATTGACTAGTGCAGATACTTAAGGAATTTGGAGCTCCATATGCATTATAATTTTGTAGATTTAGAGTTCAGTAGAACCTGCAGATTTAGAAAATTTGAATATTTTAGTATCCAGTAACTTGAGAACTTGAGTATTAAAAAATTTATCAAATTGAAATAAAGAAGACAAAAACCTTGTAGCTCAATGGAAAGGGCCAACAGTGATACAGTACCCCCTCTGATATAGCGAGATCGTCAAACTTTTCCAGCATACGTTCTAGAAGTTTCCATTTCACCCAGATGCCGCTTATGACCTCGAGCTATAACTAGAAAACGTCTAATACCGACAGATAGGAGTTTTAATAGATATAAAGGTAATAAAGGTCATTTCACTATGGCCCGGTGAGAAAGTAAGGGTAATATAGCCTTCTACCATAATATAGTGAGATCGTAAAAGTGTTCGGTATACGGTGCTATGATCCTCAAATTTCATTAAACCTCGCTTGGTTAGGGTTTAATTTACGATCTCGCTATATCATAGACACCCAAATTTCAGAATTCGAATTTGATCATATCTGCTTTATACTGTCGTTAAATATTTTGAACGGTTATTAAATTTAAATGGAAGCAAATATTTAATAAAATAACAATATTATAAGTCCTTGATTATGTGGAACGAATGCGACACGTACGACGCCATTTAATTAACAAACATAAAATGTACACAATAAAAGTACATACATCAACATGCAACGGGAATAAACGTAACAGATTTCGAAAAAGAACGAAATTATTCTGAAAGCTTCGAAAAATCATTTGTTTTGTTTACACGGTGTCTACATGAATAACGGTCAATGTCATCCACGGTATACATACATATATGTACCTCGGTTATATTTGAGAGACTTTTCATGACTGGGTTAGCTATGAAATTTGTTAATCAAAACTCTGATTCGACTCCATGGCGAGGTATGTAATTGGTAAATCCGAACGTGCGCCTCTAACCACCGTTTTACCACCGCCAACACGATGCTCGATACTTCCCCTCTATTAAACCTCTTTGTCATCACGACCGGCTATAACCGCCTCTACTTTTAATTGTTCGTCGAATTGGCGCACGCAGCATTACGATTCCACCGCACTACGATGCAATTGTGTACGAGATATACTGTTATCGATTATCGATACACCATCGATATCTATTGACGCTAAACGATATATCGATAATATCGTTGACAGGAGAGGTAGAGTATAATACGTTTTCATTTTACTATTTAAACTTTAAATCTAATCTAACGTCATTCGAATTTATTTAGTCTTGTTGAATAACTAAATTTAAATAACAAAATTTTGTATTCTATCTTTAGACAAATCGTCTTAATAGAATTATCGATCTATCGAATTTTCGACATTATCGATACCTATCAATAACAGCAATTGTTTGATGAGTCAGTTTTTACGATTTATTAATGAAAGGTTTTTCACGTTGTACGAAATTTAATAGGGAGAATAATATTTAGTTGACAAAATAAAATAAATTAGAAAACTTTTGAATCAGTTACATTCCCAAATCGTGTTGTCGCCGTTTCTATTTGGTCCGCGATGCTACCAAGAAGGTCACCTTTCACTTTCGAATTCTGTTATTCAGTATTTGCTTACTTTCCGAGGATAAATTTAAAGCGAAGCGTCCCTCGACAACGGAAGTCGATGTCTTAATACCGCAACTCCACTTCCGATTTGACTAAAAACCTTTCCGGTGAAAGTTTTCGATTTTCAAGCGAAATATCGCTTTAAAGTTCGAATAACAATGGGAGCACTGTGGAGGAACATAACAATGAAACATAACCTAACCCTTTCACCTCGAAAACTTACTATCACCCGCACAGAAACGATAACACTGAACTCCTGACATCGAACGTGATCGATTGATCGATCGTCGCGAGTTGCTGATCGAAATCAATCTTGAAACAGAAACAGCTGATTCGCGTCTTTACATTTGAAGAAGCGTATTGATTTTCCGCGATACGAAAGAACCGCCTTAATATTTTGAATGATTCCGCGCGAGTCACTCGAGCGAAAAAGGAGAAATCACTAGATACACGACGCGTACGATTCAACGTGACCGATTTGTCGGTCGCGACTGTAACGGCGTACGTCAAAACTCGCAACAGCATGTGATCGAGTTAAAACAATTAGGTTAGGTTGAATTTTGGAAGATGAACATTTAAGAGAGACACGAGAGTATCAGTGACACGAGAATCGGAGGCATAAGGACCTTGGCGGGTCGACAGACCCACGTCAAGAACGTGCGACGACCCCGACCCCGCTAAGGGAAGTACTCCTTTCTTACATCTATTCTCTTACATTCACTGCCCTGTATGTTTCACTGTTCCACCTTTCACACCTCTTGTACACATAGACTCTAACCCTTTTCCTGCTTACCTCACCCTCTCTAAAAAGTTTACCGTTCCGTCACTGGTGCACTTCACACCCCTCCTTCCTTCTTCTACTACTACCACTACTACTACTATTACTAGCACCACCGAACGAACAGTACGGAACCAGAACAGAATGGGAAGTAATACACAAACATGTATAATAAATATATATATATACGTTATATATGCACACATACACACACAACGGCGCACTCGACAACAGAGTAGGACAGCTGAGCCACCACTGCCCCACCAGTTTTATGTAAGAGACATCTTGCACTGTGTCCACCGTTACTTCCGCAAAGGTTAAACCTACCACCGGCACGCGAATGATTTCGATACTTTACGTTAAAATTTATACACTACACCACTGCACTAATCCGTAATTTCAGCTAGCCTACCCCATCGACGACAACAACAAATATGGCGAGCGAACCTCCTCCTGCGCCTCGCTGCTACGACTGTCGACTGACCACCAGGTGGCGATCGGAACGCCGCCCCAACGACCCCTACCATAACTTCTCGCAATGGACCTAGGAATACAGGGATGAACTGTGAACTTCGATTGTCGACAAGAGCGAAACTAACCCGCGAGGGGGCGCTCTAATGACCGATACCCGAATTTTATTCGTGCCTTTTTGCGCGTGCTCCATACCGCCAATTATGAAAAACAAAGTCATTTTTCAGCTCAACATCGAATAAGTGAGCACTTCTTTCATGGACATTTTTTGCAAACTTGAAGATTTAGAATTTTTAGGTTTATGAATCTTCAGGGCTAAAACAATTAAAATTTAGACATTCTCATGTTTCAATCGTTCAATTGTTGTAATACCAAATGCTTAGATTAATTGCACTAAGCTGCAACCAATGAAAGTTCGTTTCGCAGTGGCTTAGTTGCTCAAGAATATGATCTGTCTTCATTTTCTTAGATTCATGTTTTTTATTCGGCTTCATTTCGGATGTTTCCGTTCATTTTCGGATATTCCGTCGATATTTACGCGGTTTTTAGTTGAAATATGAAATGTAACAAAGGTTTGGCGTTAGAATTTTTTACATTAGATTAGTTGCAGTATTTGGTACAAATGTAATGATATATTAATATAGAATTTCTTTTTGATAATATTTTAACATAAAATTGAAAGGTACGAGATTTACAATATCTTTCATTGAGGTTATATGTATTGCGGTTAGTTTGGTAAAACGTTTAGCGTCTTAGAAGCGGTATAAAATTATTACGTTCTATTTTATTAAATATTTAAAATGTCCGCTGAACTGGATTCTGATGATGTTAATAACCCAGATAATATAATGAAAATTTTAATCGCTACCGATATTCATCTTGGTTTTGAATATAATAAAAAAAGAGGTTGGTTTAAACTAGGAACCAGATGTTATATTCTTCGTGCTTATAATTTATGCTAATATTTATTAACTGATTATAGGACAGGAGTTAGATGATAGTTTTGTAACTTTTGAGGAAATATTACAATATGGTAGAAAACATGAAGTAGATTTTGTACTTCTTGGTGGAGATTTATTTCATGATGCTAAACCATCTCAAACTGCAGTATTAAAATGTATGGAATTATTAAGAAAATACTGCTTAGGTTCCAAGTTAGTATAATTGTATATAACATTGGTATTTTAATTGAATATTTCTAACAAATATTTAAATTTAATTGTGATCTATTTATCAGAGAAATCAAACTTCAGTTCTTAAGTGATCCTGAAGTTGCATTCAGTCATTGTGCTCACAAAACAGTAAATTATGAGGATCCCAATTTAAATGTCTGTATGCCAATATTCTCTATTCATGGAAATCATGATGATCCAAGTAAGAAATATACAATACATATAAGTATGTATAAAATTTTCCTACCATTTTTTCATTATTAACAAAACAAAATAGGCTTTGGCGCTGTTGGATCAATGGATTTGTTATCAGTATCTGGTCTGGTAAATTATTTTGGGAAGTGGACAGACCTTACTAAAATATCTATTTCTCCTTTAGTATTGAAAAAAGGTGAAACTCATATTGCACTTTATGGTTTGAGTTACATAAATGATCAAAGGCTGTCTCGTTTGCTGAGAGATTATAAGGTAAACTTATGAAGGAAAAATGTAATGTATTTACCTATCATATTAATTTTAATAACTTTTTATAGATGGATCTGTTGCGCCCAAAGGACATACCAGATTGTTATAACATATTTGTTTTACATCAAAACCGTGCTGTTCATAAAGAATATGGACATATTCCAGAAAATAAATTACCAGGTTTCCTGGATTTCATTGTGTGGGGACATGAACATGAATGTCGCATTAGCCCAGAGGCACTTTCAGATGCTAGCTACTTGATTTGTCAACCAGGTATATTCTGATTCAAGTCTTTCCAATTTTGATACCACAAATATATTGCATATAAAATTATATATATCTTTACACTTGAAATTTGTAATTTCAGGAAGTTCTATTGCAACATCTTTATCTGAGGGTGAAGCAAAACCTAAACATGTTGGCATTTTGAGTATAAGCAAACAGAAATTTAAAATGAAACCACTGAAATTGAAGACTGTTAGACCATTTGTGTTTGACAATCTGATCCTAAGAGAACAAAATATAAGGAAAGATTATACCCAACCATTGTCTAAATCGGTATACAATTTTATTGATAATTACATAGAAAACACGCTTATACCTAAAGCTGCCACACAGCTATCTGGACATCCTAAACAACCTATTCAGCCTTTGATTCGCTTAAGAGTATTTTACACTTCCGAGGACGAAATGTTTGATGGAATGCAGTAAAGTTTATCAAAGTCATTTTTATTAACAGTTATTAAGCGGACAGTATACGAAAATATATTTCAGATTGGCGCAAAAGTATTGCGACGAAGTTGCTAATCCCATGGATATGATTCTGTTTCGTAAAGAAAGCACCAGCACTAAGAGATCAAAATCAAGTACAACCAGCTTCAATGATGATCCTGATGAAATGGCACAAATATTTCAGTATGAAGTGGGTAAAAACTAATTTATGCTGTTCTTTACATATAATGCCATGAATTCTTTTTATTAGGACGATGTGGATTGGAATAAAACAGTGCAGGGTGGGATAAAAAAACACTTCAGTTTAGAAGAAAATAAAGATAAAATAACTGTATTATCTGTTAATGGGTTAAATGAAGCATTAAACCGATTTATCGAAAGAGGAGATACAGACGCCTTTAAAGATATAATAAGGTAAAATATTTATAATTTGATAATTAAACAATTATTGTATTATAAATGTGCGAACATCAATCCTAATTGATAACTTAATATTCAGCCATCACATGAAGAAAACTATAGCTTATTTAGAAACTTGTAACGTTACCAATACCGAAAGTATTCTAAATGAAATAAAAAATTTACGTGATAAAAGAATGGAAAAAGAACAAGAAGAAGAAATAGAGGTATATAGGAATTAAAAACGAATATTTAATATAGAATTGTGCAGTATATGCATACTTGTATGTTTCACAGATACAACAGTTCTTTAATGATCCAAATAAAAAAAAATCATGTAAAGATACTGTCGATGTGATTGACAGTGATGATGATGAACAAACTACAATGACTAAAGGCAGAGGTGCAAGAGGTAGAGGAGCACCTTCTAGAGGTAGAGGCTCACGAGGAGGTGGTCGTGGTAAAAATAAAAATACACCTGATGTAACAATTACATCAATTTCTTCTGGCAAACCGAAGGTACAAATAAGAATGAGAAATTTATATAAATATAAATTTCTAGAAACTTATTTATTAATAAGTAAAATATTACGGAATATTTTTTTTTGTTCATGTATCTATGATAATTATTTTATATTTTTTTTATTGCTAGGACCAAACATCATTAAGAGCTTACGTGAGAGCTTCGAACAAAAAAAATATCGAAAATATTGTCATCGATGATTCCGATTAAAATATAAATAACTTAAAAACTTTTCCTTTAACACTGTAATAAGTATTATATTTAAATATATTATTATATTTTTATTAAATATTCAGACCATTTCATTTCCCTTATCAACATTATTTTTATATAAAATGTTCGACTTTATTCGGGTCAAAATTTGTCTTACATGATTTCGTATCTCGACTTTCGATACTATCGAATGTGGCGCGACCACAACCCGCCGGAAGTTGTCTTTCTTTACACTTCCTCCATTGATCGTGTTTGATCGGAGAGTTTTCAGGAGGTTGAATTTGCAGGTATTATAGTAGAAAAATCTGTTATTATGTTAAAAATACAATGTTAAACGTCCAGTGTAAACATATTTATGTATACTTTATATAAATTATACGTTATTTATTGATTCATCGTTGCGATTCAATTGGATAAATTTCACATCATGGAGTTTGTTATATGTTCCTAACACTGTCAAGACATAACCTTAAAATAAATTCAAAATGTTTATATAAATTGATCTTACATATGAACGTAACTGAATTGAAAAGGAAAAGAACGACTTCAAGCATTTACATTTATAAATAATTGAAATAATATTTTTAACAGAAATGCCACCAAAAAGAGGAAAAGTACAAAAGGAGGAAGTTCAAGTGTCTCTTGGACCTCAACTCCGCGAAGGAGAGGTTGTTTTTGGTGTTGCACACATTTTCGCAAGTTTCAATGATACCTTTGTACACGTAACAGATTTATCGGGCAGGTGAGTTCAGTTCTAATCATGAATATTGGTCATCAATGTCTTCAAAATTTGAAGTACAATTATTTCTTACAGAGAAACCATTGCTCGAGTTACTGGTGGAATGAAGGTTAAAGCAGATCGTGACGAAGCTTCTCCATATGCTGCTATGCTTGCTGCTCAGGTAAAAAACTAAATGCAAATGTTTCTTATTTGTGTTCACATTCAGGCAGCTCCTATATGCCATATTATTATAGAAGCGTTCATGTTTGTGATAGATCAAGTCTCTTCCACAATATTGAAATGTTTATGTTGTTTACATTTTTCTTACCTGGAAGAGAACATTTCATATAGAAATATGTATATAGGTGCATGTCAAATATCATTCTATTGTTTTGTATGATATATTTTGTGTCAATAGGATGTAGCAGAAAAATGTAAATCACTTGGAATCACAGCACTCCACATTAAATTGAGGGCTACAGGAGGTAATAAAACAAAAACACCTGGTCCAGGTGCACAATCGGCATTACGTGCACTTGCACGTTCCAGTATGAAAATTGGTCGTATTGAAGATGTCACACCTATACCATCTGATTCTACACGTAGAAAGGGTGGTCGTCGTGGACGAAGATTGTAATTTATAATTTTGTCCGTGATTTATCAACTTTCAACAATAAATATTGTATTGTATTTTTATATTCTTCTTATTTAGTAGTCCTAATCCACATAGCAAACTTCTATATGCTAATTGATCATATCTTCTTTGACTTCCTAACATTTTTAAGTAGTTATAGAAATGTACAGGATAATAATGGAAAATTTTGAAGTTGAACAAAAAAAGACTCCCATTATAGTATTATTCAATAATTTAATTTAAATAATGAATGAAAAGCTTCATACCACTGCAGCTTAAAAATAATTGAAAACCTATAGCATATTTAATTAATTTGAAGTTACAAATAACACTATTTTCATGCAATATTTTAAAAGATTAGTACAGCTTATATATACTATATAAGAATTGATTATTGTAACAAAATTTTTGGAGTATTTATAAATATTAATATTGCACTGTATTATGGTAGCATATACTAAGCAGATTCCAGGATGTTTCCTACAGTGAGATATAGCTTGACTTGTAGATCCAGCTTCTGAGGTGCTTTATGTTCCAATGTTGTAATTGTATTCACGTAGCCATATTGCATAACAAATCCAACTATAGCTGAAGTATCTTCAGTCACTTGGATATTCTCGTGAGGAGTTACATGCAATTTTATTACTGCTTTATTTCCCTTACGCCAAATCACGAGCCTTTAAAATTAATAAAAACATTGAATATATAAAGAAATAATTTTATAACATAAAAAGGACAAAAATGATAAAATACATACTTTGGATCATCTTGGAAGTTATTGGTATCACCTGTATCATCATATTCAACAGTGTCATCTCTGGGTGGCAGAATAAGTGGACTGTGAGGCAAAACTAATTCTGCATTTGCAGAAATTTTTATAGGTTTAACATCTTCTATTATTGGAATTTGTCGTACAATAGAAGGTAGTAAATTTGGAGATTCAGATTCCTGCAACCATAATAACATTAAAAATAATTTTATTAATATTATAATAAATATTTACCTGTGGTGCATCTTCCTCATTAACCTCCTCTTTCTCGCATTCTACTGTTACAGTAGGATTTACTGGTGTATCTAATGGTAACAAGGTTACTTGAGTTTGATGTTGAGTTGGGTTACAAAACTTTAAAAGTAGTTCGCTCGATTTGCCTGGGCGAAGTGGTTCACAAGAAACAATCCTTACTTCTGGTACATAATAACTAGAAAGAAATATGTCTTAGTATACAAATATTCGCATACAAATATGCAGAGTACATTAGCACTTACAATGCAGCTAATTTAATCTTGAACTTGGTAGACTGTGAAGAAAGATCTGGTTTACTAAGACAATGGTCGCACACTCGACACCGTTGCGATTTCTTAACTAAAAATTGTCTATGCTGTGGACGTAGTTCATTTACTTTTTCCGCTTGCACTTCCGGATGTTGTAAGCGTTGTTCCAACGTAGTAACTATATATACAAATTATTTTTTATTAAAATGTTTTAAATTAAAAAGTGCTGATTTACATAATTACTTTTAGTTATGTCTACTGGTTCTGTAAAAATTTCTGGAGATAATTCTTCTACTTCTTCAGTAGCAATAGATGGTGGTGGCTCATCAGTTGATTGTGAGTGCATAGGTGGTTCAGAGGCAAGACCAATACGTTTTCGAATCATAGCAGATGTCATAGTTAACATATTCTACAATAAAAAGATATATATGTGTAATTAAAAGACAATAATTTTTTGGATATAAGAACATTTGAGTATTTTACCATTTGTGAATAAAGACGTTTTGGCCGAAATTTCTTCTTCTCACGATGTTGTCTTTCTATATAACCCAATATTTTATGATAATCAATTAATGCATTTATACGATTCGTATGAGGGTTTTCTTGTTCAGGCCAACCTCCAGTAGCTAAGCATAAAGATGTATATTACATTGTTTTATTGTTTATTACTTAACTAGAACATTAAATGTTATAAATGATTCTGTGAAACATACCTACAGACTGATCTGGAATACCAGCATCTCTGGAAGTCCATCGACATAATGAACAAAATAAGTAATAAACTTTTTTAGGTGTTGTTTTAACATCTTTAGGATCCTCTCCATCTGAAGGTGCTACTCTTAAAGGAACATGTCCAGCTCTTGTAGATAAAGTTTGAAAACAGCAAGGGCATTCAAAGCAATTTGAACATCTGCGAACATGTTTATGAAATTAATACAAATTTAGGTCTGTGCTTTTTTTATGAATCACATTATTGCATATAAAACCTACTTGTTCTTTTTAAGGCGAACTTCTGACGATGGTAAATTCTCCATACAATTAGGACAATAATGTGAATCCACCTATAAATAAGAATGTCTATATTATTCGCTAATTAATTAATATGTAGATAACTGTAATCGATACGAATTGTTCGAAACAAATATTTTGTAACGTTAAACGACAAATAATATACTCAGGATTGTATAAGATATTGATATTTAATTTTAATAAGAAATGTACCTCTTGACATACACAATAACCGCAACGAATTTTTGAACAATGTCTGCAAAAATAAATCTTTGAAATCGGTTTCAAAGATCCGCAGTTACACACGTATTGCACATAACTAGGCTGATTCAGATATGACATGATTAAAAATTAATTTTAAAAAAATGACTGTCAGAAGAAATCTGAAGTGACACTTTCTACTTTTTGTCAGAGGTGCGTGTACTTATGCATTATACATGAAACATATATTCCATATAAAGTGAACCCGTTAGGCTAGAATTGAAAGTCCCTATTGTGTTATAGAATCGAAAAGGTAGATCCCTACTTTCTTTAGAATTAACCACATGGTGTAGCACTTTAAATTCAGTTCGCATCTCCTACCGCTAGATGGTATTTAACATTTTGAGCAATCTTATTTTCTATGGTGAATAGAATAACATTGTTGGAAGTAATATTTAACAACAAGTGTTGCAAAAGCGATATTAATTTCACCTCGGTTGTCACTAATTCTTGAAGAACTTATATGACTGTTTAAAGTATTATATCCATCAATCAAATAATTATAATATATTAAAAATTATAATTAAAAAATAGTGATCTATAATTTTTACATTTTGCATTTAATAATTTTATAATAATGCTTGCACACAAAGTGATACGACAAAGACACATTTTTAATTCACAGTTGAATTATTTATTGAAGAAATATTCAAAGCAAGCAACAGCGGGTGAAACCAAACACCAATATGAAAAACTTTCTTTTCCACCTGTTGTAGAAAAGAAACCAAAGAATGAATCAGTTATATTTTCTCTACTTACAGGAAGTATAAAACCAGAAATGCTTGCTTTTCCTGAAGTGTTGCCTGGTGATAGATATAAAGAATTCCATAATTGGTTAGATCCTATTGAAAATTATGTATTAAGTTGTACTAATACAAATACAAAATTAAATAAAGAAGAGGTAATATATCATCTTAGAGAACTTGAATTATTTCGGGCATGTATGGAAGAAGATCATGGTTTAAATCTTTGTGAAACAGAATCATTGAGACTAATAGAAGCAGTCAGTACATTGCCTTGGTTGGGCACCTATTTAGTAAAGAACAACATTGTACCTCTTAAAATACTTTCTAAGTATGGATCAGTAAGTCAAAAGCAAGAGTATTATCCAAAAATAGCAACTGGCGAAATTGTTCCTACAATCTGTATACATGAAGGTGATAACGGGACTAATGTTAATAACATAAAAAGTCATGCTGTACCAATTGAAGGAAAATCATGGTTATTAAATGGTGAAAAAACGTTTGTAGTCAATGGAGTAAGTGCTAATCTGTTTTTAGTTTTTGCGAGGACCATATCTAAAACTTCATGTAAGCTTCAACCAGATTCATTTTCTTTATTCTTAGTAGAAAAAGATAATGAAAGTGTAGTCTGTAGTGAAGTTCATGAAACAGTTGGTAGACACGAAATTCCTACCTGTACAATTAGTTTTAAAGATGTAGTAATACCTGAGAAAAATATCATTGGTGAACCTGGTACTGCATTTAATATATTACTGGAACTGTTAAAACCAGGAGAACAATATTTGAGTGCACAAGCTATTAGTATTCTGCGAAATTTCCTGAATCTGTTAATAACAGATATTCTGAAAACCAAGCATTTTGACAGAGATCTATATCAGTTTGATATAGTAAAAAACATTGTAAGTGAAATGATTTATAATCTGTATACCATGGAAAGTATGGCATACTTTACATTTGGATTAATAGATAAATATGAAAATCAAGATGTTACCCTTGAAAAAGTAATCACAGAAAGATATTGTGTAAATAAATGTTTAAATGGTGTTCAAGCAGGAATACAATTAATGGGTGCCCACAGTTACTTAAATAATACATCATATATACAGACATTTCATGATGCTTTGGCTTTATCAACAGTTGATATGAATAATATGGATGCAGATACATATATAGGAGCAGGTGTTATACAACAAATTGGAAAGATTTTTCAAGAACACATATACAAAAAAAGGAATTATCATAAGTATCCTATATATCACCTCATAGACAATTTAATTGGTAAGGCTGAACCAGATATAAACATTGCAGAACATTTTCATCGATCGTTAAAGTTCGGTCTTGAAAATCTAGAAGTCAGTATAAAATTATTTGTGGAATCTCTTAATAAATTACTTCTTCAAGACGGATTACAAATTATAGATCAGATTAATACTCTTAAAGTAATCACTGAAATGATATCAGAAATATATGGGGGATTTGCCAGTTTGTCTCGCTCGTCGAGATCTTATTCTTTAGGTCTTCGAAATGCAGATAAGGAAAAAGATATAGGAGTAACTGCAGCATATCTTACAGCCTGTAATATAAATGAGATTGCACAACACATTGAAACTGGCAAATTTGACTATAGAAACGCTTTTTATAAAACTGCAAGCGAACACGCGTATGCAAATCATAGATATTGTATGACACATCCTATAACTAGAGCAACGTTTTAATGTTAAGTTGTTAATAGTAATTTTCTGAACCGTAAATTAAGTGTATATGTACATATCTTGTATGTATATTATATATTTATGTATGTATTTGAATGATTCAATAATGTAATTAAACATAACTTATAAGGAAATGAGTACACACACTTTCATTATAGCTTCTGTTTATATGCAATTAGAAATATATAATTTTTCTTATGCTCTATTGAATTTAAAACAGAAATATCTTTTCCTTGGTAACTACCCTTGTATAATCTTTTAAAAAGATATTTTCAATGCATTTTATACCAGGAATTAAAACTTTATTTTTATACACCATTACTAGGAATTCTAACGTATACACAAAAAGGTGGACGGTATTTTGCTACAAAGAAATGTAATTATGTTTGTCCTAAAATCGGAAATTTAAAATTCTATTAAATTTATTTTAATCATAATATCACTATAATCTTTCTGCTTGAACAATAACATGTTCTTCCCTGTATAAATCCATTGGTGACCAACAACTTCTTACACAAGTATATATTAAAACGGTTCCAAATTCAATTTGGAAATTCTTCTCGGTTCGTGGTTGAAGTATTAGTTTGGAAATTAATGTAGGCAAAATCTGGACTTCGAATATCATTTCACCACCGCAGTATCGACATTTTCCAATGCATCCATTAACAGGATATAGCATCAATGGCGCGGAATTATCTCGTGAATATCTAAGTTATAAAGTAATATGTTTTACATTAATCTATGGCATATATATATATATATAACAAAAATATATTAATGATTTGTTAATATTTTTACCGTAATAGCTGACCAGGATTTTTCTGAATTTGAGAAATAAAGTTATGGAACATTTCATCCCCATGCATGGGAATACCCTTTTCATATTTTTCTGCATCTGTCTCAATAGTTTTGGTCTCATCCAAGTCTACTGCAGATTTTGTTGACAAATCTGGGTTTTTATATTGGTATTCAAGGAGCAGATCACGAATATGCTGTGATAAATCTGCATTGCAATCTTCTTCCTCAACGGAAAGAAATATTTCAACAAATGATAACTTTGTTTCTGTATTTGATTCTATTTGAATAGGAAATGGAGTTACTTCTCGTAGCAAACTAATTAAATCACATTGAGGTTTAACTGGACTATCAATACAGACAACTTCACTTTCTTCTCCATCAATTTCAGCAGATGCTTGAGGTGAATCCAATCTACCTACAGCACCTATTCCAACTGGAGATTCTACGCTTGCTGGACTGAAATGAATAACATTTAAGTAGTAACTAAATACACTAAAGTGTCATTTAAGACATACCTATTTGCATTAGGATCATCAACATGTAGTACAGAAAAGTCTTCTCTTATATTTTTATCAATTTCTTTTTCAAAACAAAGCTTAAAGTCTGTTGCATTATTTGCCAGTAAGTTATTTCCATTCTGCTCAGAATTATCGTTCAAGTTATCACCCCAGTCATCTGCATCTGATAACCATGATGTTGTAGATGGCACATGTATAGTGCTACTGTCTAAAGCATTTGATTTATATTCATCTTCTAAAACTTGAACTCTTAGACACGTCCAGCTCTCATTTTGATTCCAACAATTTGGATTGATACACGTGAAAATATAAAGTGTTCGGTGATACTTAGAATTATGTAATGGAACATAAAGCTGAAGAGCCAGAAGTTGGTACAATCTGCATAATCTGCACTGTGGTATCGACAATATATTCTTCTCATAACAGTTCTAAAAATAACAATGGTATATTTGATTAGATATACATAATTTAATTTAGAGATAAACTTTAATAACATTATCAAATTATTTAAAAGACTTCTACCAAAAAGTATGAATACAAGATTTACAATTTCGACACTGCTCGTATAGGACAGTGTAAGGTATAAATTAATATAGAAAACAACTTACTGGAAATCCACCAATTTTATTTGTCATGAAATTAATACTCGGTCGATGTTTATCAGTAACGTATTCATCTTCGTATCCTAGGTACACTTTAGGACGATTATCACAAGCCATTAAGTTTGATTAAAAGTATATTTCTTCATTGGAAGACTTCGTAATAGGATAGAGAATATTTTAATTCTCAATTTACGCTTGTATTCAGCGGTAGACAGCTGACATGTATCAGTATCGGTTCACGCGTGCGCTTTTAACAATATCCTGTTCCATTATCGATTTTTGAATGCTTTATGTGTATAAGCAAATATTACGTGAAAAAGTTGGATTTTATTTTCATAATTCAATTTTCGATATGTAGGATACTAACAGTACTACGAATACGTTTGATAAAAGAAAGGAGAATTCGGTCATTTATTTTTCTGGGTAAAGCAAAATAAAATTCTCGGCTAAATATTTTTAATTCGTAATTCATAAATTCACATTGGATAACATTGCAACCAATGTTTTCTAAAGTAACAAAATCCCTAGAAATTAAATCCAACATAAAGTTGGATTCACATTAGAATCATAGCAAGGCGAACACATATTTGACAAATAAATAAACTATGTAATATAGCAAAAATATAATTTTGTCATTATATAAAGTTACATCTACTTATAATTAAAAGGTTTCATAGTACTTCAGCAAAGGCGACATACAGTATTAACGTGAACACAAGTAATTGCAATGGAAACTATGTTTAAGTCATCGACATTTTAGAATTGCATGCAGTTTGTGATGAATGAAGTTTCTAGTCACAAAGTGACAATATTTGTGAAAAGTGAAAACAAGATGCATTCCATTATTCGAAATCAATAGTTTTATTTTAAGCATTGTTGCTTTTATAAGATCACAACAACAAATTTAAATCGGTTGAGAAATATATAGCCCGTTTCACGAGAGATTGTGCCCAGTCTGCGCATCGTGGCTAACTTCAATAGACCCCCCACTAGCGAATGTTGTCACACTATCATATGCTTTCTACTCCATCATCCATATACACGGTGGTGAAAAATATGTGACTAAGGAGAAGAGGCGATAATGTACAAGTATAGAAATTAAGAAATCATTGGGTACATAAGTTTGACGAGTTGGAAGTCCTGAACGCATATGCGTGTTGCTCCTGGTTACGAAGCATCCTCGAACAAATCAAAATCAACGTGCGCAGAAAGAATGAAAAGTTGTCGTACGAGTAGTATGTTCTCTGGATGAACAGACTAGGTACACAGCACCAACTATTGGTTGGGATATCCGATTTTAGTTTGTGACGTCATGCGCAAAACAGTTCATTCCTTATCCCCTCCGTATATCTATCCAGCTGTCCGTGGTTTGGCAGTCCGGTGAACGAATTTCTCAGGGTGATTATCACGCAGGTTTTGATACTGGTGGGCTTTTCCACGAACGATAGTGGAAATTGAAGGTGTCAAAATATCGATACACGATCGAGTGCCAATCGGAAACCTGTTAAGCAAAACTAATTTTGAACAGCCTATAACGATATCGTACGACAGGGTGGCCTTCGGACTGACAAAAGGCAAAGACGTACGCAGTAGAAACAACTAGCGTTCTCGTGGTGTATGTAACGAGGTTGTCGAAGTAACCGTCGCGCGGAGCTGTGCGATTTCTTCTGTCGGAGTGTAACATTAACGCAAGGTGTGGACGGTATAGAAACGTTCTGGAATTTCCTCGTATCAACGATTTGGGAGCGACGAGCCCATTCGTGAGGGATGTCTACCCCCGCAAGAAGGAGACTAATGAGAGATTTTAAGAGGTATCGTGTTCCTTAACGTTCTTATGTCATGACTTTTCTGTGTCATTTACCGCCATTAATTATTGGAATTTGTGTATTTGTATTTTTCTTCTTTTTCGATCGTTTTTCGCGCGATCATGATCATTCAACGTTTCTCTTGTGACTCCTCAGGTTACGCGACGTTGGAACGTCATTGTGGCCCGTCTTACGAAGTTATTATTAGGAACTTATGATCGTTTATTGCGTTTCAATTATATTCACTGCTATGTTAATCGACGAATTGGAAACTTTCGTTTATTGTTATTCAAGAAATGCCTAAAAAATTCCGCACGTTTACTGGAGGAGTATGGTTTTGTTTATATTGTGACATTCACTATTGATTCTCATAAATATTTGATTGTCCTCTAGTAACCTTTGTTATTAATTTTATTTCTCTATGAATTGAATGAATTAAAAATGATATTTATAACAACAGTAAATAATAATACACTCAGTTGAAATATATATTTCAATTTCCTTTTCGTATTGGGCAGATTGTCTTTCAGTTTATACGAATGACAAATATATACATGAAAATGTTTAAAATTCATAGATATGTATGTATACGTTGCTATTAAAAAATGTTTTATATTAAGAACCATTGGTGTGACATTGAGCTTTACAACAAAGCTATCTCTATAGTTTGTACTAAGTTTATTGTTAGTTTAATAGGTAGAATAAAATGTTTTACCAAAGAAAAAGTATTTAAGCATAATTAATATGTTGTGTTTAATACAATTTTATTATGAACAGATTACAAGAAGATCCACCCACTGGAGTATCAGGAGCACCCACAGACAATAATATTATGATATGGAATGCTGTTATATTTGGGTAAGATTAAATGTTTTTAAGATTTAAAAACTATCCATAATAATTTTAATCTTCTATGAATATTATTGATAAGATAAAAGAATAATCCTTCGCATGTAGAATATTTCTGAACATGATGTTATCGTGTCTTGTTTATTTTTTAGGCCACATGACACTCCATTCGAAGATGGTACCTTTAAACTCACAATAGAATTTACAGAAGAATATCCAAATAAACCACCCACAGTCAGGTTTATTAGTAAGATGTTCCACCCTAATGTATATGCTGATGGAGGCATATGTTTGGACATATTACAGAATCGTTGGAGTCCTACTTACGATGTCTCTGCTATTTTGACATCCATACAGGTATTAAAAATATTTGATAACTTATATCATCTTGTGCTTTAACGCATCTCAAATATTTAATTTTATTTCTTAAATGCTTTCCATTATTATGCATTTCTTATTTTTCTGCATTAAATTTTCATTGATTCATATATTATCATAACAAATACACATTGCATGCTTAATATTACATCGATGATAGTTCATCTCATAACAGTAAGTATAAAGTATTGCAGAATTAAGATCTGTTTAAACAGTTAATAAGAAGGTATTAATTTTATATGTAATCAGTAATTAAAGTTTATTTGTTTTATATATTGTATTTTATTTTCAATTCTCCTATGGAAAATGATTTTCTGCATAAAAACTGCAATTATTTTTTGCATGGCAGTTACTAAATGTCAGAAGTAATTTAAACAATTAATTGTTTATGTTACAAGGATTATTAAAATAGAGTATGCTTAATTTTCTTTTATTTTACACAAATTATATATTAATAATCGCTGAGATATGTAATTATTTCCTTCTGTTTTCTATCGATTATGTTATAAAAGACCTGAAAAATCTGCAAGTTTTTGTCTTAACAGCGGTTGCAATTCAGCAAAGTCTGATTCATTAAATTTGAAATTATTTTCATACAATGTCGGTATAAAATTGTGCTTGTAATTTGTTTAACTGACTGAAAGTGCATTTCCAATCATCGGTACTAAGTAAGAATATCATCTACTTTTACAATTATGGCCATGCATCATTAAAAAAAAAAGAATAATAAAAACATCGTTTAACGAGTATGACTTATGTGGTTGCAGTCGCTGTTAAGTGACCCGAACCCGAATTCACCTGCCAACTCAATGGCAGCACAACTGTACAAAGAGAACCGACGTGAGTACGAGAAGCGAGTGAAGGCTTGCGTGGAGCAGAGTTTTACGGATTAGTCGCAGGCGTTTCTACGGTGCTGTTGCAGCATCAGTCAGCCACCTACAGCCATCAGATACAGTGGAGAACGTGCAGCCTTACCAAGGAGCTAACGCTAAACATTAGCATGTTTCTTCCTAAAGCTCTATTGAACTACCACAATGTGCAACATTAGACCGAATTTTTACAATGTTGAATAATAAATTATTATAAAATTGTGTATTTATTTATTTCGATATTTGATAAACAGATTGATTGTTTCGATATTTGGTTGAAATTAGTAATATTAAACATTAGAGAATACTTGGCGCTTTTTGTTTCTGTGCTACAAAGCATTATGTCTTTCACAAGCACAGAACTGTATTTCAATTAAATTTTAGTACTTCATATAGTACATAAATTTCACTTATACATATATTATATATATACATATAAAATATATATATATACACACACCATACATAATAAATACATAATTTCACTTTATAGTTTTATGGTTTTCTTTAACCTTCTGTGCTGCTTACATTTAGAATAAACTTATATTATAACAAAGTCTATAAAATATTTGTTGCAGTCCCTTTTGGATGAACCAAACCCAAATTCTCCAGCCAATTCGTTAGCGGCACAATTGTATCAGGAAAATAAACGGGAATATGAGAAGAGAGTAGCTACTGTTGTTGAACAGTCTTGGTTGAACTTTCAAGAAAGTCACACAGACGATACCCGCTGACATTAAGTATAGTTCATTCTATATTTTTTTTCAGTTTATTTGATATTGTTTTCTACATTGTTTTTAGCAGTTCATGGCCTGAAGTGCTTTTTCCCTGTATTTACAAAAACAATATATTAAATCCTCCACTGTTCTACAAAATTTTCATTTTATGTTTAGTTTTATAAATTAACAAGATGTTTTTTTTTCAATAGAATATCTTTTAAATACACGAAAATGTAGAGCACTGGAGTGATGTGGTCATACAGAGCGTTGCGTGATTTTTATCCGTGAACACAAATGAGACGCGTATGATTTTGCTCACTATAATTAGATTTTAGGCGCCCATACACAGCCAAATTCAAATATTAAAAATATATGCATATAAATATTGTTTTGTTAATATTGATTTGCATTGTAACTAACAGCTATACTCGAATATAAGGATCTTCATAAAAAAGTAATTAAAAAATTGATAAACTCAAGGTTTACTAATTCATCATCAGGAAGTAATAAGCAAGAACTTAGTCTGATTTAATGCAGAAAGTAAATGTATCAATGTATAAATAACATAGTACATAGTTAAACTGGTAACCAAGTGGAAGAATATAAATATTGATTATTTGTAATTTCCTAATAAAGTTGAAAGAACATTATCTATAATAACATATTTTATATTAATATCCTTTCCTTGGAAATTGTCAATTGAGAAGGAGAGGTGCAAATATTAAAAGAATTGTCATAATAAAAAATTAGTAAATTTATAGTAAATGTCAAATTTATTTCTTATGAACAACAATCATAAAAAAGCTTTTTTATAATTATGCTAAAGATACGAACTGTTTTTTATAAAACAATATTTTGTTATTCATGTTTGACTACGAAAAATTATAGTTTATAGTTTCTATGTGTTTAAACACATAGCACTCGTATGTACAAATAAAATTTTCATAAGTAAAGAAAATACATAAAACGAGTCTACATGCGATTGCTATTTAGAGATTCGATAATCTTCACTTAAACATGTATATTTTATACAAAATTCACCATAATTGTAGGAAATTTAAATCATGTTTCCTGTACATGTAACTATACATTTCGCAAATAATAAAATTATATTTTATGAATATTATTGACATTAAACTATTTTACTCTTAACAAAATTAAACTATAAAAAATTATTCTTTTTTATTTAATACTGCTCTATTATGTTTTATGTATGAAATTGTATTACTATACTGATACGTGATGTTTGTATGATACTGTTCGAAATATGTAGAAATCAAATTTTGTAGAAATTTTAAATTTCAAATAAATACAAAATAATTTTAAAACATATGTAATTTCAGCGAAGATATTCGTTTTTACTCTAGTTATTTAATATTTTCACAGTATTTACAATTAAGAATATTATACAAATATAATTTGTTCACTACTATCGTAGTTGCTTACATAATAATTCACACGCGCCTTTATACAACAAAACGTAATAACAGAATAATTTTACCCAATCTTTCGTAAAATTACAATTCTTTTCACCGGTCGTTTAAAATGAAACAATCTACTTGGTGGGACTTAAAAATTGTACTTAAAATTAACAAATTATATTTTAAAAGTTCCCTTTAGTTTTAAGTAAGTCTTCCAAAGTGTTTAAATTGCTCACCAGTTTTCTCCTGCTACGATTTTTCCTCTTTCTCTTTGTTATATCTTTCTAGCTCTTTCAAAAACTGTGCTTTAGGTTTCATAACATTCGGACGATCTCCTCTACATTTTGGGCAAAACCATTTTCCTTTTGGTTTAGTACTTAATGAAACACATGAAAAATGGAACCATTCAATAGGACATAAATCATTGTCACACAATATCATTTCTCCATATGATATCTGGTCACATAGACAATATGTAGGTTCATCTGGATCTATTGCAAGATCATCTTCTGGTGGTGGTGGAGTATCTTCACGATGCTGATTCTGTTGACTTCCTTGCCTTGATTTCCTTTTCTTTTTCTTACCAGTGTTAGCAGTAGTGGTTTTCTTTTGATTACCATTACTTGCATTTGATAAAGAGTTAGAACGTGTTTCAGTCATTACAATCATATCCATAGCATTAGATTCAACCATTGTTTCTGTCCTAGTTCTTCTAGCTCTTTTTGGCTGTCTTTCAGAGTTGTTTGCATTACCAGAAGCATTTGAGTTAACATTTGCATTTGTCTCACGGGCTGATTCATTAGTCTCTTGTTCTTTTCCAAAATCTGTAAAGAGTTCAAAATGAAAAAGTTCCACACAACATATACAAACTTTTTGAAAAAAAATAATGTACCAAGATTACGATAATCCAAATCTAACTGCCTAGATTTATTTTCTATAAGATCTTGAACTTGTTGAACAATCTGTAACTTCTCATCTCCTATTTCTTGTGCGGCAATCAATGCTTGCTGAACTCTCAAAAGTGCTCTCCGCTTGACTGCCAAATCCGTGTCATTTCTTAACGCTTCTTGCTGTTGATCTACTTCTCGTAAGTAAGCTGTATCGGAATAAAAGTATACCATGAAAATATCTGTAACACTTCTTACTGTAAAATGGAACATAATATATTTTTCATTCAAATATAAATTTTAGATTTAATATTCAGTTTTCCTCTTGTTTTTGTTATATTATCTCTAATGACTTTGTATATTATATTTCACCAAAATTTTGTAATCAATTCAAGTCACAAAAAGAGAACATTTGTGATAAAAACATACAAGTGTAAACACACGGGAAACTTTTTAAAATTTATTAATTGTAATTACTTTGACAAGTAGCATCGAGTTCTCGGAGCCGGGAAACATGTCTCTGTAAATCATTTGGTAAATTCTCCACACAGTCTAAATAATTTTCAATGTATGTTGCAGAATATAAAGCTTCAACTACAGCCTGGTTTAACATGTTCACAGCTCTTAAAAATTCTTAACAATTAAAACACATAAAATATTTCTCAATCAACACGATAAACGCAGCAGTTATATCAAATTTTTCAACTTTTCGCAACATTTATACAGATATGTATCGTTTAATTTACAACTGCACCAGTCCAGATGAATCAAATAGTAAGGAACATAGGTAAACTGTTGCAACACTTTTTTTTGATGCTCCATCTGTATTTGTTACAAAAGTTAACATGGCCGCTGACTTCACAGTGCGTTTCCTGAGTTCATTATTCGATAACAAACCAAAATATATTGCGCATATGCAGATACAAATTGTTTTATGCTATCAGAATTTATATAAATGTAATTAATTAAATATGTTACGTAGAATATATTACTGAATACATAGCTCTATGTGTAGTATAAAAAAATCCAACGGAGTATATGCCAAGACCATATTTAATAAAATATAATTATCAATTATACTGTACATATCTTTGAACGAGAATATTAATTAAATGTTTCATACGATAAAATAAATTTCATAATTATTCAAATCATTATTCGCACAACGAGAGATCATATGCGACTACTTTCAGTATGCTCCCCAGAGGGAAGTCCCCTCCATTTAGTGAATTTACTCTCTCAATTTTCTATTTTCACCACCCGCTGTAATGGCGTTTGTTCATTCAATGAAAACTGAGCTTTACATTATTTCACCTAACATTAATGATTCTTATTTATTGTTATTTTAAAAATTAATTTACAAAATAATACCATTTTGTAATGCACCAGAAATAATGCCAAATTACAAACTTTTGTTTACGTAACAAGATAATTTATATTTTAGACGTTCATTTGATTAGGTATTTGACGTCAAAATTCGTGCTGCGGCCTACCAATCCCCTGTCACAACCCTATTTGATTTCGTTCGGTAAAGGAGAGTCGTGTTTGGGTTCTCGTGGGTTCTCGTGTGCCGCAAAATCTGCGTGACGGTTGTTTTCGAATTTTACAAAATGACGTCCACGGGAACTTTCCAAGGGTTTGGTGATGAGAAGAAGAAATCTAGCAAGTAAGTGACACGCTTATATTTACGGTTTATTATTCGTATAAAATACCATGTAAGACTTCTGCTCTCTTTTCGTCTCTGATGTGTCAATTATTTATTATTATCTTAAAAAAATAGTGAAACAAAGATTAAAAATTAATCGTTAAAAATGAGAAAAATTTCTCCTGATAACAGTTGTCATTAAAAGTGTCGGTAACAAAGTTGGATCATTTAAGTTTGAATTTTGATATTTAATTTTATCGTTATCGTTATTTGCACATTCGTGAAAATTATTTTTGCAGCAGATACGAATGTTAATTGTTTATTTGGTTGAATGATAACAAAAATAAATGAACGGCGTCTTGTTGGTTACTGACTTTTTTGTTATGCATGGTGCGTCAGTTTGAACCGGTCATAACCGGACAATCCATGATCCTTTTTTGTTGTGGTAGCGTTTTGGCAAATTGAAATTTGCAGTAAAAGATGCATTTGTATTTTAATTATAACGAACGCTTCTTATTTCTAAAAATATTTGAGATTTTATAAAATGTGAATTATTTGTTTTACTATTAAAATATAAAATCGCCGTATAAGTTACTTGGTAACTGCACCTGTCTATTTACGCGTGATATATTTACTCCTTTACATTGTGCTTAATATTACATTACGATATTAATTTTTTGTGGTTCATAAAAATTTTGTTTATGAAATAAATATTTGTATGAACATTTCTGATAATTTTAATCGACGGTTTTATCTGTCTCAAAAATGAATGTTATTGCACTATGTTTGTTTGTGTCCATTTTTTATCAATTATTTGTAAACACGAACTGTTGCATTTAGTTAATATAAAGTCGATAGTACCTTAAGCGAAATGGTTTCGAGTATGAACATGTGGCGGTAGATTGCGCTGAGTGTATCGTTTTACAAAATAAATTTTAAAACAGTTCGGTTTTCAGTTAAACTTCTCTCCTATGCTATATAACACATTTTATAAAATATTAAGATTTAATTAAATAACTCTCAGTACAATGAAATTTGCAAATTACTAAAATACATAAATATAGCATAATTTATTTCTTTTAAATAAATATTTTCTGTGTTTAAAAAATTATTTTTTGCTGCTTGTATTCTATTGTCGAATGCAATAAAAATTTTAGTTGTCAGTTTTCACTTCTAATTCAAACTCAAAATGCATACAAACATAGTTGCAAAGTGGTTCACATATATACCATTTTATTTTGTGAAGTCTTGATGACTGAGTTTAACCTGGAAAGTATCACGTTTCAGGTCTAACATTTTCGAGAAAAAAATTCGCGGTTTACCGCGGTAACTGCTAAACATTGCAGTCCATGTTTCTTATAAACGGAACGCTGGGTTTATTAATACGGGTGAAAAATGTGAGACATAAAATACACAACAGTTAACAGTTGTTTTTTAATGAAAAACGTTTCTACGTTTCTGCTCTGATTATCCTTGTGATACGAATGTGCTTCGTTCGAGGTTCGTGATATAAAGAATTAGATAAGTCGAAATTACCGGATTTCCGTTACCGTAATAGCAGAAAACAACAAATGTTTGAATTTCCTTCTCATACGAGCTCTTCGAAGAATAAATGTTTCTTTTTTTTCGGATCTTGTCATTCCAAATGCAATTACGCATTGTGCGAGGAATATTCGCGAATCGTGTATCCCCTTTGTTGTAAATATTTTCTCGGAATGCATGCAGATAATACGCATGCTTCTGAAACACGAGTCACGCTGCTTCAGGATGACTCACCCAACGTCCTGCAGTTCTTTGGCGTGCCGCATAGAGGCGTGTACATTTAGGCTCGAAGCTATCGTAATTGCACGGGATAGGTACAATATTCTGTCCACCCTTTATTCTCCCTTTCACCGTCTCTTTGTCTCTCTCGTGTCTTCGATACATGTATTTTTTATGTTTCTCGCTATGCTACGATGAAGTCGTAAATTAAACCTTCCTTAGGCGGAGCTGAGTAACGCAAAAACTCACAGAATCATGCTATGCATTTTGTTTTATAAGAAATATTACATGATTAATGTACACCGTTAGGACTTTACAAAATTTTTCAAAGTTACAGAATTTTACGACTTTACTATACACTGACACTTGTCAAACTGTATGACAATTAAATAATTTTATGAAATTTCAGTTTCATAGATATTTAAAAAATTAGTTTTAAAATAATAGTTTCTATTATAAACAAAAATACGTGTGAATAGCTGCTCACTGTATGTCGGTAAATAAATAAAATATTGCTATGTGATTATCAGAATTATGGTCCATGACAAGTGGGCCTACTGCCCGGCGCTAAGGGCGCCATCGTTGTACTACATTTAAAAGAGAATGGTACTTCCAAAAAATAATAAAATCTTTGAATAAAATTTATTCAATTTTTAAGGAAATAAATATTAACTCGTTTTAAATGAAAACGTGATTGAACTAAATACATACAGGAAAAACAAGTTGTGACCATATTCGAATAGTCAGTTTCTATTTATGGTGAATACGATGCAAGGTATTCTTGCAACGAAGAAAATCCGTAAGTACACGGTATAAAAGATATAAATATATCCGGAGTAGCCCGTAGGAATAGCCAAAAGGGAGTTGGCTGTGAGTACGTGTGTCCGTGAGCATGTGTTTAAGGACATGCCCCTTCGGGGCTGTTCGCGCAGTCTCGTAGGCCGAATAACCGGCTTAAGGCCCCGTGCACACGTGCGCGAGGATCATTCTCCCTACGCAAGTTTGCGTTGCGACGCGGTGTCGATCTCCGCCGTCAGTGGATTTCACGATTGTGCACGGAACACGGTGTGCACCTAACAACGCTCTTCCTTTCGTGGTTTCTCGACTTTTTGGAGGTGGCGCCTCCTCGTGTAGCGTGCGTTAGTTTCCCTTCGCATTTTCTGTCGCGTTGTCTCTGTCGTTCGCGAACGGTGGTGCGTGCGTGCGACCAAGATAGAAACGGAAAAAGGAACACGCGAACAGCGGTGGTGACCCAGCCTGACTGACCTACGTCGTAGACCGCTCATACGTGCATAACCGGCGCGAAGTGTCGTGATCGTCGAAACGCGTGGCCGTGTGATTCGAAGTTGTCAGAAAAGACTAATAAGGGCATCTTTTCACGTGTGATCGAAGAAAAATGTGGGCCGGGCAGGACGACACGCAGCGATTTAAAACCAGGTATTTGCTAATTTTCGTTCTTGAATTTTCTTTTCCCATACTCCGTTGCGACACACTATTTTTCGTTCTTCTCCTTTTGACAAGCCATTTATAACCTCGAAATGCCTTTCTCTTCGGACTCGTTCGATCGAGCGACAAGTTCGACGACCTCGACTCTATCGAACGATCGAAATTGCAGTTCCGTAAACGCGATAAAGTCGTTAGGCAGCCACCGATTGATATGTGTTAGTTGAAACGCGATTGAACGTGTGGCGGGTTGCGTGTCCCCGCCTGTTGCTTTTCTCGCATGTGCTCCCTGTTTTATCGATCGAGCACCCGGCTAGTCTTCGTGGAATTTCGGGGTTTATTTTCATAGTTGTAAACCTTGCGGTGGTCCAAGGGTCCATTCGACTATTATTCGAAACATCTGTCGAGTGCCGTGAACAAGGAACAGATACCTACGTTTTTTTCAGCATCTGCTTACGAACCTTTCCTTCGTCGCAAACTTTTGTCCGTTCTAAATTGTGCGTTACAGTCGGTAACGTTTCTCCTTGAAAAATTCTTTTATTTAGTACTGCGAGTAACATTGAAAATCGACGCATTTTCTATTGTAACTACGTCGAAGGTTAAGACGTTAACTGTCATAAGTTTTAACTATAGTTGCGTTTAAAATAGATACAATCAATATTGCCACGTTGATAACCGTCGTTTTCTCGGATTAAAATATACAATACATTTGATTTCGTTCGAGGGATCTTAAGTTTTAATTTATTAATCGAAATCGTTCTCGCGGAAGCCAGTCGATATGGCGACAGACGAGATTTCCTGACGGGACAAATTTCGATGATAATTGGTAGCGATTAACGGCCTCAAGGAGAACAGGAATCGAGAGCCGGGAGAGACTAAGCCCTCAGTCTAGTTTCTATTTCTGCGAGACACGGGCAAAGAACAAGAACGTAGACGAGTCGTTTCCAGACACGAAACTGTACAAAGGTTAATGCCAGTGTAACGAGAGCAACGAGTTACCGGGCAGACATGCTTCCACCAGTCGGTCTCGTCTATAAACTTCAGTCACGCTATTCTCAAGTTCGGAATTTCAAATTTCACGCTTCTGCGTTTCTTCCTCGCTACTACACGAAGAAACATACACGAAGTTTTAGCAACCATTAGAAATCTTCGGACACCTTTCATAATTTATAATCCTCGTTTACGCGCGATACAGATGATTCTCTTTGCGACGAGTCACGCTATTATGGAATTGAAAAATTCAAATTTACCGCCTTTACGTCGCTCTCCCGTTATTGTACGAAACGGAAAGACATAAATGTAGTCGTTACACGAGTCATTTTTCTTTTCAACAAATTTAAGCTGGCCTATTGTTCGGAATTCGAAATTCCACGCGTTCACGTTTCCTTTGTCCCATGGCACAAAGAAAATGTAAAAAGAAGAAAAGTAACGGGCACCATAAAGAACGCGATGTCGAGACTTCGAACGTCTCTTCGAATTCATGAATCATTTCGGTCGATAAGGATGTACAGACGCCGGTACGCGGAAACATAGTTGGTATCAAGGAATATCAATCATCCGAAAGAGCATATGTAAGCTTTCCTTCCAGATAACGCGTTTTAGGAAACGTCTTTATCGCGGTTCGAATTGTTTGATGTACACGGATTCTTGGAAGTCGCTTAAATGTTTTTCTATGTTCGCGACGATCGTATCTTGTACAATTGCTCGTATTTTCGTAACACAAAGCGGGTACAGAGGCGAGCGAACCGTGTGACACGGTTCACTTTGTCGTGTGGGTAGAACTTGTTTTTGAACATGACTCGATACCGTGCATTCGCGCGACCGGATTTCACTGAATATCATATCGAATGTTCGTGAACAACGTTTTCGAGCTACCATCAGGTACACGTGTCTAGTTTATATGGTACACGTCTGATGGTATAGTTTCGGTTATTCTTTCATTGTTCACATTCTACTTTCAACCAGGGATATAGAACTCTAGATGCCTATGCAACTCTGCATATTACTATCTGGTGGTCTGTCTTGGCATATTAGGAATGTAAGCATCTAGAAATATAGAGAAATAAGGAAATAGGGATACAGAATTTCAAGCTTTCTGAACATTTCTAGATCTCGAAAGGATCTAGGAAATTTTTCGATCTTCAAAGCGTGGGGATCTTCCTGTGCTAGCCGTGGGGAATTTTTATTCTAGGGAATTCACGGTTCTAGGGAATTTTTCGACCTAGGGAGTTTATGATTCCAAGGAATATTTCTACCTAGGGAATTTTCAGTCTAGGGATTTTCGATCTAGGGAATTTTCAATTTAGGGAATTTCCGATCTAAGGAGTTCACAGTTCTAGGGAATTCCCGATCTCGGGAATTTCTGTTCTAGAGAATTCCCGATCTAGGGAATTTTAAATCCGGGGAATTTTCGATTTAGGGAATTTCCGATCTAAGGAGTTCACAGTTCTAGGGAATTCCCGATCTGGGGAATTTCTGTTCTAGGGAATTCCCGATCTGGGGAATTTCTGTTCTAGAGAATTCCCGATCTAGGGAATTTTCAATCCGGGGAATTTTTGACCTAGTGAATTTTTTATCTAAGGGGTTCACGGTTCTAGGGAATTCCCGATCTGGGGAATTTTTAATCTAGGGAATTTTCGATTTAGGAAATTTACCGACCTAGTGAATTTTTGTGTTTTTGTGATTTGCATTACGGAATTCTAGTACTTTCGAATTTGGAATGTGGAAAGTTTTCGAATTTAATGTACTTAGGAGATCTAGGGAATTTGAGAATCTAGAGAATTCCATTATGCAAGGATTGTGCTGACTTGGTAAATATTGATATCTAGGGAATTCACAGATATGAGGAAGACGGTAGATACTCAAATCCCTACATAGGAGTATAAGAATGTTTTATAATACATTAATGCAGTTGTCGATATAGTGTACTTGCGTAAATATAACACGTGGCGATACATAATGCAGCGATGTATGTTGTGTCATCGTATCGTACATCGACCCGTTCCTTTTCAAATTACCAACCATTTTCTTCTGGTTTCTTATCCCTCGTTCTAATTACCGTCAATTTCGAGGGCTACTCGAATCGGCTGAGAACGCCACTCGAGATAATAAGCCGAGTAGTTGGTTAGTTGCACGCGTGGGCGTTTCACGCGACGATTCTCGTTCTTTCCCGTCGATCCGCGAGCGGATTCCCCGACGAGACTTATCGGGTCGTTGGTCACCGCGTTAAGAAGGGACACGAGGAATCAGCGTTAATCGCCGGCCATAGACCGCGTTTCTCGAGCCCGTTCGAGATCGTGGCGAGCACGAGTCACCGATAAAGCGGAGATTCCGAACGAAACGGATCTGGTGCGTCGATTTGTCGTGGATCGAGGAAGTCGCGAAACCAGACGGAGTACAAACGTTCTTTTAATGGATGTAGGAGTTCGTGTACGACTCGCGGGAAATGATTTACGAGAGAGGCAATTTGTGGCAAGATGATACGAGTTCAGAGTAGCTTTCTTGTTCCTTCCCGATGATGTAATCCCTGAATGATACGGTAGATCAGTCGCTTTATTGGACGAGGAAGTCGATTTTATCGTAGATCTATTCCGGGAGTCTAAGTTTATCCTAAATTTCCAATTCCGTTCTTTTATTCCTGTTTCAAGAAATTCTTTAGGAAGCAGCTTCGTAAACGTTCGATTTTTTATGAAAGTCCGACGAGACAGAATTTTAATCGCATAGAATCGCCATACCGTTTCCTCTACATTCACCGCGGTACCGCGTGTAAATATTGGTCGTAGGATTATCATTCACAGGAAGCATTGAAACGCGCTCGTATCCGATGAATGAAAACGATTTCCATTCATTAGCGTTTTTTAATTCGCGTTTATTCTTATTCCGCTTCCAGGGCGTGTCCCGTTTCATTCGATATATCGGGGCTGTGCTCGCACACGCAAAACGCGACACATGGAGTGGTCGTTGGTGTCCTGTTGCAATGGGAACGTCGCTTTTCTCTGCCGGCTCGTTTCACCGATCCTCTCCCGTATATTCTCGTGTTCCGTTCTCATTTCATTAACTTTTTCCACTTCTCTTTTAATCTTGGAATTTTTGGTGGTGCACGTATGCTAATACCAAGAACCTGTTGCTGCGATTATGGGTATTAAACTATTATAATTTACAGCAGTATCGACGGGATAATCGATGATTATCGGTTGAAACGATATTGTTCTGTTAGATCACCGAAATGTCTGGGACCATTAGAAAAAGAGAAAGGACTCGGCAGTAGAAGTACAATCGAGGTATCGCTAACAATAGTAATCAGCCGTATTCGCGTGTAGACTGCTGTTATCAGCCGTGATTGCATTCAATTATTCGAGACGCTGTGCGCTAAAGCTGCCAAGTACCTGCTCGTGAACGAATTCTTTAACAGACATCGAGACGGTGCCCCGTTGAATAGGATCGTTCTCTTGATGCGAGGCGTTGCTGTTTGTTGCGTTTCGCCGCATGCAAATTCACTCTATAGGAGGATTTAATATTCCAGCCGAAGAAGGGCCAACTCGTGCGTGCATGTTAGCACGTAATCGTATACGATCGAACGTAAATTTCTTAGAACAAATAGCCTTTTTTCCCCGCTTGTTCTCGCGTATATACGGCCAGCCCCGAGTCATTGGGCTTTCACGGCGTGAAACGTCCGTTTCTATTGTTCTACGGACGAAAACGATCGGTGAAAACGCGTTTGCCCTCGTTCGCACCTTCATAGTGGTATTATGAATTTTTCACGGGTGTCTGAGTAGGATTGAAAAGGTCTGTGTGCGATTGTATGCGGCACCATATCGCTCTTGGTATTTAATATCAGGTTGTTGCATATCGGATGGCTAGTTTCGAAACGTTGATACAAAGTCTGACAAGAATTGATGATATAAAATAAACGTAAAATTGCGTTCTATCGCGCTTCGAAGATTAATGGAAATAAGCATAAAAACGTTTTATTGATACTGGATATAAATAGGGTA